AGTGAAAAGAACTATGTAATACAGCAATCAAAGGACGTGAAAAAGGACAGCAACATCCGAAACCAATGGCATATCCGGGTGTTTATGATTGATTTAGTTTGGCTTTTTGCGCAGAGTTCCTGCAACGAGTTCATGGTTTGTTAGAAATCTGGCGAGATAAGGGACAACAGACCGTCTATAAGCTTCAGTGCGTGTCTTTCTGTTGACACAGAATTGGTTTTCAACGATTGATTGCAATCGCCTCGGCAATCTTGAGCATTCTGGTGTTATTATAGGTAAAAATCACTCAAAATGCTTTATCGCGATCCACGAGATTTTGCGTCATCAACAAGTAATTGGCAATCGATGAGTTTGGTGGTTTGTAAGCACGGACCTTACCAGTCACCGACTGTGTGGATTTTGCCATGACGCTTCCCCCCATTTACAGGTGTTTATTTTGTAATCCAGTCCCAAACCCTATATAAAAATTGTATTTGTCTACAGTTGAGGTGCAGCGAAGTCATCCAGGACATAAATTGTGCAATGTTGCTATACTGGCTTCTCTTTTCAAATTGTTTTACTCACTTATCTTTATCTTCACGTTTATGATCGGCACACCTGTTACCTCACTTCATCTCCCCCTCCCTCTTTCTTTCTCTCGCATTTACTGTTTAGGGTCGGCTTCCCACTTCAGTGTATTATGGCCACATTTATTGTGCAATTTCTACTCTCATTTGTCATTTTATTGCCGTCATTGAAGGTAAGCAGATGTCTAAATCTTTGCATATTCTCGGTCACACATTTTCACACCCACAAAACTTGAGTCAGAACTGAGAATTTGAACTTTGGTTTCCCCCAGATCATGGAAATTTGAACACCGTGCCACAGGTGCCCCACAGATCACGGAGGTGCGCATATAGCTGGATAAATCATTGTGTCAATCGAGTCGCATCGAATTGTTTTGCTCCACCATGAAAATTGTTAATCCACCCGTAACGGCAATCTGAACAACGTTTATTACGGATCGCAGTGTCTCGACTTCGACTGCTCAAATTTCCAGCACACGGGAAAACTCAGTTGAACGACTGTTGAAGTTTTGTTTCTATTATAGACATGTATCAATACATATTTGCGACTTACGAAACCGTCCTTAGGTCCCAGTTACAGAAGGACAAATAATAGAGCAAATCACGGAGCAAAACATAAAAGGTATTGTATTTGTGTAACTTGTGTACGCTATTCGTCATGCGGAATGAAATAGTAATAATAATCATAATAATAATAATAACAATGAAATAATACACGAAAGGTAAAGAATGTTGCTTATATTTGTTTCACGTACAAAACTTTTGACGTAGTTCACTTGCGACCTGTTCCTTTTTGGTTAGAAGTTGGGTCAGGTAGGGTACAGGAGAATTTTTATAGCTGTTATTGCGAGAGGGTAGATGCCGAAATGAGGAGTGGACGAATGGGAACGACAAGACGATAGATCAGGGTACAGTGGATAAATAGGGTCATATAGAATCTTATGGGCAAGTTTAACACAAGAGTTAATGTGATCATCAGTGAGTTCTGTGATTAATGAATCGATCGGAATTAATGATGCCCGACTGATGATCAACAAACCATGGTGAATTTGTTTTGAAGTCGTGTTTTAAAATACCGGGAAGCACTAAAGGGAGGCAATAGAGTAGAATTGGTAAAACGCATCGATGAAAGAAAGAGAACAGGACTGACTATGGGGTTCGGAATTGCCTGAGTTTGCGTAACCGAAAAGATAGGCGTCTCAGTTTTCCCATACAGTTGTAAATATGTGTAGACCAATGAAGGTTGCTGTCGATGGTGACACTCAGGTACTTGACTGAGGTCATTCTGGATACAGGTTTACCCCGTTGGAAATGAGGAGCGGGAAAGACTGAAAATATACTCTACGCACTTAGATATGTGAAGAATGAGACCAGATTGATCAGAAAACTGTTGGATGTGGGATACTTTGTCAGTAAACAATGAAATTCCGAAGGAGATGAAACTGTCTGAAGTAAAAAGACGTCATCCGCATACTTCTGGATGTGCGCAGGGAGCGGGACCAAAAGATCACTAATAAAGGCAGAAGAAAGATATGGAGATAGAACAGCACTTTGAAGAACAACAGAATTATTAATAAGAGGTTTTGATGTCCTCCTTCCTAATTTGGTGCACTGGGCCCTCTTTGTGAAATAGTCAGAAAGCCATAAGAGCAGCTGTCTTGGACTGCCAAAAGATTCCAGTTTGAAAAGAAGGAAGGAAACAGAATAAAACACAGAGCGGGTAATCAAAAGGTCGGTTAAAACAATTCCATCGTTGAGTTCACAGAAGTGAAAGAAGTGATGAGAAAATGAAGATAATGAAATTTGTGAAGTGATATGTGCAAAACCCGTCACATCATCCGAATCCGCTCACGTCTGGCAGAAACCAAAACTGTCTACAGTGGTTCTTAGATGAAAACCACGATAGCTCTTTAATTTTAAGTAGTTCATATTTTAATTTGTGTCCGTACAATAATTTGGCTTCTGCACCCTGTGCTCGCGGTGATACGTCAGCAACGATGCATCGATACATACTAATATGGTATCGGGTCATTGGCTTTGTGTTCCAATCCTAAGGTTGTCCCATTCCCTATCTTTTTACTATTATTTTTTTATTACGCGCCAGTCTGGGATGAACAGCAGACGGGGCGGACCCCATAGTCACGTAGACCTGCAGTTCAGCGATGGTAACCGGTAACGTAAGCCCCAAAACCGCGCACGAAGGTGCATGGTTAATGGTTATAAAAACTGAACTGAACTGAACCTCCGGGACTTGGAGTGGCGAACCACATAAGGCCCCACCCGGTTAGGCGTAGTACTAATTCAGTGCCATTACTGAGGTTTCAAAAATCCACTCTATGTTTTTTCATTCAATAGAAACAGAATGTAAATAATAACAATGCTGGTTGTTTTATACGTTGTCGAACAAAACACAAAATTTACTGAGCGCATATTTTCTATTTTTCGTCAATTGGATATTCTTGATGGACAATCAAAGCTCTATATAAAATTGAATGTTTATGGATCACATGTATTGTTTCACATTGCCACTTTTGAACGGATTCGTGTACACTTCCTAATAATATCCCTTTTGCAGAAAATCTTCATCCTCTTTCTCATGGTGATACCTTTCGAGATCGCGGAAAAAATTGTATTCCCGAAATTTTTCATAGTAAGTCAACGATTGTCTCTTCGCTGACTGACGTTTCTCAAAAAAGAACTGACCACATCCACCGTTGTGCCGTTCACTTGACAGTTTAGGCATTCACATCAACGTGCCATAGATGCGTCTGGCTGGCCGATAGTATTTTGAGTGATTACGTAGCCCACTTTGTGCGCTTTGAGTTAGTAGCAGAATGACTGTGTATTTGCCGTCTTCACATGACTTCGAGGCAAAATGACGCTTTTCATCAAATCACAGAGCTGTTTTCACTAGCTGCACGACTTTGAAGGCTGCAACGTCGCAGTTCTTTCAATCATTGATCTGTATACCATTTTCTACAGCTTGGGTTACACTTCTACCTGCCCACGAGGTCATAAAATAAATTCGTTTTAGTTTTTAGTTACTAATGAGTAGTAAGAAGCTAAATGGTATATAAATTGAATGCGATCGTA